TCAAGTAGCAATTGATTATATACGCTATTTTTCGTGTGAGATGGGTCCGGATGTGTGGGATATACTCCGTGGCCGATGAGGATACGCAGTTGAGAGCGTGAGGTGACGCGACTCATGGCAACGTACAGCTGACCGTGATCGAAGATACTATCCTTGAGGTATATACCGACGCGCTGAAGAGTTTGGCCTTGCGATTTATTGACGGTCATGGCGAAAGCGACCTTAACGGGGAATTGTTCGCGGCTGAAAGCGACGCCCAATGTGGTGTCGCTTGGTGTCAGTTTGACGCGAGAAATGATAGCATCTTGGCCAATGTGAGTGCCGTTGATTATTTTTGCGCGGAATATGCGACTGCCGAGAGAAGTTACGCGTAGGCGAGTTCCGTTTACTAAACCGTCGACCGGAGACATATTGCGAATAAGAATGACAATTAACCGTCGACCGGAGACATATTGCGAATGAGAATGACAATGGCGCCGACTCGGAGGCGAAGTTTATGTGGAGGCAGGCCAGCCACTTCGACGTGATTGAGCAGTTCGATGGGGTAATCTACAATCGCTTCGGCTGATGGATCGATTAATTTATCTTCAGAAAAATACATTCGCTGGTCTCCTTCCAGAGAATCTAATATAAGATTATTAACGTAATCGCAGTGGTCGTTCCGTGGGCAGAGTAAAGCATGGTCCAGGTTTGGCTGAGCAAGGTTATTCTCGTAGACCCAGTCAATGAGATCCTGTGGGGAACCGTGAGGGGAACCGTGGAATAATAAATCGTCGGGAATGCTCGTGATGTCTGTGTCGGGGACGTTTGCTGATCCCATTGCCGATAGTCAGCAGGTAGTCGACGAAATCTTGTTGACCGGGTCCAATTCGCATGTTCTGCGTAAGGTGGATAATTTTGAATTGCGGCCATAGAGCACTACTACGTATGGACTCGGCGATGTTCGATCCAGCAGGAGCATTAGGAATTATTGGGGCGCATTGCCTGAAATCACCGCCCAGCAAAATGATTTTGCCACCGAAGGACCACTCTGAGTTTCCTGTCAAGTCTTTCAGTATCCGATCCATCGCTACGAGAGCCCGCCGTTCGCACATAGACGCCTCGTCCATAATAATTAATTTCGCGTCGATCAACCGTTGGCCTGCAACACTGGCACGGCATATACCGCAGTTGAAATGTTCCATCAGAAGAACTGGAAATTTAAAAAAATAATGGGACGTACGGCCGCCAGGCAACAGAAGCGCCACGATTCCAGTCCACGCCGAAGGGATGATGACGTGCCCGTTATTCCTAAAATACTGAATAAGGGCTTTCTATACAAAAGTTTTACCCGTGCCACCCGGGCCATTGAGGAAAAAACATGTAGGGCCAGTATACGTCGGACGGAGTGTTTGTATGATGGAATTGTAGGCAATTAGCTGCCCTGAGTTCATGCAACCAACGTATTCCTCATTGGGAACTACGTAGTCGTCGAAGGCAGCTAATTGGCGGAAAACGGAGGGTGGTGGTTCCGGAAAGTTTAAATCTGTCCAATCGACCATGTTGGCTTCGGCGATAATCCGTATATCACGCAGACCGTGCGCGTAGCGAAGGTCGTCGTCGCTGCCATACACACGGATCAGGTCGTGCGTGAGATCTTCTTTATAGTGCTCCCACATTGGGCCGCCATTGGGTGGACGGGTCAAAGCAAGTTGTTGCCCGAATAAGACGCGAAAAGCCCGTGGATGTTGGCATTGCGCCGCTTCCTCCAACGTCTCTTGGAAGGCAGTGCCACTGTTAATTAAGCCGCGGGCGTGGCAAGCTTCTTGGGCGGAGGTGTACACTCTGCCTTTATAAGTAAATAGGTCGTCCCAACTGCGAGGACCCTTGACGTGGTGCAGTAATATGCGAGTGGCTACCAATT